ATTTAATTTTTATTATTTAATATATTTTTAATATATATCATAAAAATATAAATTAAAAAAATCATTCTTGTAAATAACATTAATACTAAAATATACCTTAGTAATGCATGGATTTATATGGCTTTGTAGAATCATTGATCCCTTGTCAAATTTAATTATAATTAGAATAAAATACACTTAAGGTTAGTCTATTTAGTTTACATGATATATGTTTGTAAGAAAAAAGTTGATTAGTATATTTTTTATGTAGAAAAAGATGAATCTAAATATATGTTGAAAAGTCTTGAGCTGGATGACATGTTACTTTTGAGATTAAATCTTTTTCAAAAGTCTTGCATGTGTGTATTAAGAGTTAAATCTTTTGAAACTCATCTTCAGATTAGGACAAACAACAAATTGTGAGGAACTTGAATTTGGAACTTTGAAGTAGCTAGAGAATAATAGTAGGTTTACTTTGTGAGTAGATCATAATTTCATTCTACTTAAGTTATTTAAATCATTTATCATGTAAAATTACATAATGTTTATTTTTTAAAATTTAATGTCTGAATGAAATATTAAAAACATTGGCTTGAAGGGTTTGATGCCTATTGTGAACATTATGATGATTTCAAGCCTTTAAAGTTGTTGACCTCACAAAGGAGGATAAATATTTCGGGTGTTTAAAAGCAAGAATTCTTCTAATGTAGTTTTGAAGAAGTAAATCTTTATAGCAAGCAATAGTTTTCTTTATGTTTCTTCTGGTAACGGTGTGGGATAAATAATTCCCAATAGCATGAACTACAAAAATTTGAGGAATTTGTTGATTGTCACTTTAAACCAAACTTTATTTGTGCAATTGTTTATTGGGATAAAGATTTGGGACCACAAAAGCTTTTCTCATAATTGTGAAGAAAAATAAAAAATTTAGAAAAAATAGCGTAACTAGTCTATGATGTTGTTCAATCATGGACCAATAGTCTACATGTAAATAGAAGTGGTAGATACATGACATACTTTTGTGGATATTGGGCTTGGATGTCATCTGGTCCAAAGCTTTGAACTTCATATCATTGAGGGAGGAAGAGTTAGAAAGGCAAGTGGTGGGGAGGGCCTTGGAAGGGTTCACACAACTAATTACATCAATTAAAGCCCAAATTAAGATGGTATGTGAAGGAATTCGAGAATCGCTTAAGATTAGCAAGAGAGATTTGCATAAGGGTGCATTTTTTAGAGTTAAGGAATGCTCTAGTGATTACAAAATTGAGTTCGAGTTTTGAGCTTAGTTAAATTGAGTTTGAATCTTGAGATGTTCCGAAAGGGTTTGGTAAATGAGAGAGTTATCTAATGTTGTAGGGTCCATCATGCACTAAAAATAACGAGTGCATTTCTTAGTATGTATATATTGAATGTGTAATCTGTTCTATCTTGTTCCTTTTTTAATTTATGGCCTTTTTTGAGAATTAATCATTTGTTACCTTTTATTGTAAAATCTTTTTTATTACAGGTTCATGACAAATACTATTTAAAAAAAATTTATATATGATGATTCGATTAATACAAAAAAGTCTTTGTTGGGAGGTCTTGAAGAAATTTTAAAGCAAGAATTGATATTACTTTTAGTAATCAATTTTCAAATGAATGACCTTATTCGCATTTCTCTGGAGTTTATCTTTATCTTTATCCTTTTTTTTTTTTTTAATTTCTTTAAGGGGTACGAAGGTGAAGATGAAAAACTCATGTAGTAATTTCTTCTAGTTGATCTTGATCTATAGGATTATAAACATAGAAGTAACTTGAATTTTGTAGATTCCAAAGACTAATAAGGATAATAAGGATATGGTTGGTTTGAGGGAAGAGAAGGAAAGGGATGAATTTTTTGTCTAATCAAATGGTAACATTAAAATGTCATAATTTGATTAGTTAAAAAGCTCATCTCTTCCCTCCAATCTATTTTCCTTTATTACCCTTAAACCAAACATACTAAAAAAGAGGTTTATCAATCACAGTCTCTTTAATGTCTTCTACTATGAAGATGCTTGTCTTTTAGCATAAAGACATTTTAGAATTCTTTTATCTTTATTTCTTAATTTTCCACTCAAAGTATCATTTATCACAAAGTCTATGACCGAACGGAATGCCAAATTTTTCTAGTAGTAAGGACAACACAGTTAGTTGACTGTTAATAAATACAAGTCTAGAAAGGAAATTCTAATGCTAGAAATAAGTAGCTAGTTATTTTAAAAAATATAGTTGGATTGGAATCTCAAATTCTTTCCCCTTTAACCAAACATACTCTAAAATGGGTTTATCTATCGCGGTCTCTTTAATTTCTTCCACTAAGAAGACCTTTGTCTTCTTGCATAAAGACACTTTAGTATTCTCTTATTTTTATTTCTTGATTTTCCATTCAAAGTGTCATTCATCACAAAGTCTATGACCGAACGAAATGCCAAATTTTTCTAGAAGTAAGAACTACGCATCTAGTTGATTGTTGATAAATACTGGTCTAGAAAATAAATTTAAATGCTAGAAATAAGTAGCTAGCTAAATTAAAGAATATAGTTGGAATGGAATCTCAAATCCTTTCCTCTTTAACCAAACATACTCTAAAATGAGTTTATCTATCGTAATCTTTTTAATTTCTTCCATTAAGAAGACCTTTGTCGTCTAGCATAAAGACCTTTTAGTATTCTCTTATCTTTGTTTCTTAATTTTCCACTTAAAGTGTTATTCATCACAAAGTCTGTGATTGAAAGGAATGTCTAATTTTTTTAGCAATAAAGACTATGCAGTTAGTTGATCATTGATAAATACAAGTCCAGAAAAAAAAATTGCAATGCTGGAAATAAGTAGCTAGTTAATTTAAAGAATATAGTTGGATTGGAATCTCAAATCCCTTCCTCTTTAACAAAATATACTCTAAAATGGGTTTATCTATCGCAATCTCTTTAATTTCTTCCACTAAGAAGACGTTTGTCTTCTAGCATAAAAACATTTTAGCATTCTCTTACCTTTATTTCTTAATTTTCCACTCAAAGTGTCATTCATCACAATGTTTGTAGCTAAAAAGAATGCCAAATTTTTCTAACAGTAAGGACTACGCAATTAGTTGGTCGTTGATCAATACATGTCTAAATTAGAAATTTCAACGCTAGAAATAAGTAGCTAGCTAATTTAAAGAATATAGTTGGATTGGAATCTCAAATCCTTTCCTCTTTAACCAAACACACTCTAAAATGGGTTAATCTATCACAATCTCTTTAATTTCTTCCACCAATTAGACTTTTGTCTTCTAATATAAAGACTTTTTAGCATTCTCTTATCTTTATTTCTTAATTTTCCATTCAAAGTATCATCCATCATAAAGTCTGTGACTACAAGAAATACCAAAATTTTCTATCAGTAACAACTACGCAATTAATTGACCACTAAAAGGAATATTAAATTTTTGTCTTCTAGTATAAAGACTTTTTAGCATTCTCCTATCTTTATTTCTTAATTTTCCATTCAAAGTATCATTCATCATAAAGTCTGTGACTAAAAGGAATACCAAATTTTTCTAGTAGTAATAATTACACAATTAATTGACTGCTAAAAGGAATATTAAATTTTTCTAGTAGTAAGAATTACGTAATTAATTCACCATAGATAAATAAAACACTAGAAAAAAAATTCCAATATTAAAAATAAGTAGCTAACTAATTTAAAAGTATAATTGAATTGGAATATCAGGTTCTCTCAACTAAAATACTTTTGAAGTTGTCAAAACTGGAAGCTCAAGTTCTTTCTTAAAATATTCTCCTACATTCATAACATATTTAATTAATTTATTTATTTTTTGATGTTTAACTTATTTAATTTATTTGAACTTAGGATTAACTTTATATTAATATACCTATCATATTTTATACTAGTCAATAATTCTTCATTACTTAGTATTTTGTCAAATTAATTATTGAATTTAATGGTTTATTTGTGTAAATCATATACACCAAATTTTAAAAATTTTAAATATATGTAACAATACAAATGAAAATTTACATTTTTTATTATGTATTTAGTAATATAAAATTATGTATTATAATAAAATAATTAAATATATCCAATTACATTCAAATTCAATGTAAATAATTTACATAAATAAAACATCAAATCTAATGATTAGTTTAAAAATATAAATTATAAAAAATTATTAAATGATGTAAATATCATGTAACTTACATCAATATAAATTGATTTTTAACTCATTTGGTTGTTATAAAAAGTTAAATAATAATTTTTTAATCTTAAATTATACAATAAAAATAT